CATCCGCCTTGATTTGATCACCCAAATATTGGAGCCGGGACAGCTCAGTCGGTATAACGACTGGCCGCGGGCTTGACTGCCAAGGAGTCGGAGTTCGAGTCCCGGTAGGGCCAAGAATTCTCTCTTCTCCACGTTGCCCAGACCGGCTCCGGGGCCCACCCGGTTCCGGGGTCGCTTTCCCCGGGGATAAAGCTGCCGGGTCGTGGAGCTGACCACTTGCCTCCACTTAGTGCCGAGGTCACGAAAACGTGGATCTATACATCCACTCCCCCATACGTCTTCATGACGTGGCTCTTAATTAGTTAAGCACATGGGCAACTTTAATCTTTTTAATATTTAAGAGTACCACGCGGTAGCGTAGTTGGTTGAGGCACTATGCTACAAGCCGGAAGGTTGCAGGTTCGAGACCCGATAGGGTGGATATTCTCAATTGACCTGACCCTTCCAGCCGCATTATGGCCCTGGGGTCGACTCAGCCTCTAACAGAAATGAGTACCAGGAATCTTCCTGGCCGGGGTAAAGGGCGATCCGCACGAAAGGCTGACAACCTCACCGCCATCTGTGAGCCTATTGTCTGGAGAAAATGTGGGAGCTTCGACGTCACACAACCCTATGGGCCTTCATGGCCTGTTACAGGGATAGCTTTAACTTCTTAACTATGTTAGTGGTATTTCTCTTTTATCTTTCTCACTGCGGCATTTCCCTTTCAAGTATTACACGTATAGAGAGGAAAGCTGTAACAACTTCCCCAGCAGCGGAAGTCCATAAAAACACGTAACAAAATCGAAGTCACCAGAAGGATTCCACAGGTGGTGTGTACTTGTTCTTAAGGGTCTGTATTGCACGTCTCACTGGAGCATAGTGTTATTTAAGGGGGGGAGTAAGCACCGGACGAACAGCGCCATAGCTCAAGAGGTTAGTCGCTGGCTTCCCACCGCGGTGGCCCGGGTTCGATCCCGGGTCTGGTCAAGTGGGATTTGTGGTGGACAAAGTGATGCTGGGACAGATTTTCTCCAAGTACTTCGGTTTCCCCTGCCAATCTTTATTCCACCAAATGCTCCACGATTACCCTCACCTATCATCTGGGGCTGGTACAATAGGCCAGAAGTGGCCGCAGTACAAGGGACTTGGTCCCACCCCACCAGAAAAAAAAAAACACCGGACGATGGAAAACTAGGGCATCGCTGTCGTTTTCCACATGTATTCCCTGTCTTAACACAGTTGGAAGGCTTCAGTCCGCACAGAAGTGTGTGTGTGCCTGCAGTTTCCATGTGGATTGTGTTTATTCGCATTCTGAATGCACCGTCCTAGCTGTTATCGATTAGCTTTGATGGACACATTGACAGTAGGCCTATTTTGTGTTCATGCTCTCACAGCGGCGACCCTGAAGCGGGGTGTGGGTAAATGAAGACGAAGGCAGATACTGCCGATCGATATTATTTGTTATGGTATATAACTTGTACTCTTCGCCAAGTACAGTTGGAGTGGTCAAGCCAAGGAAGGTGAGATGGGCAGGGCATATAGCACGAATGTGGTCGAAGAGGAATGCATATAGGATATTGTTGGGAAAGCCAGAAGAAAAGAGATCATTATGAAGACCAAGACGTGGGTGGAGGGACAATATTAAAATGGATCTTAGAGAGATGGGATGGTATGGATTGGATTAATCTGGATCAGGATAGGGACCAATGGCGGACTCTTGTGAACACGGTAATGAGCCTTCGGGTTCCATAAAATGCTGGCAAGTTCTTGAGTAGCTGCACAACTGGCGGCTTATCTAGAAGGACTCAACCCTATGAGTGAGTGAATGGCCATAATAAGGCGTTACAAGAAAGTTATACCAAGTTCTTGAATTGGATCCATATTATGATTTGTTGTCTGTCATTAGAGAATCCACCTTTCGACGAATGTACCTCGCAGTTTAGTGATAAACGCACTTTGTGATGTGCTGTTATATCCAAGATTAAAATAAATTAGAATAAAATAAATTACAATTTTGAAATTTCTTGTAACCTGATGAAGACCTAGCAAATATAATTCAAATATCGTTTTGTTCGTTCGGATATCTTCAAATGAAGACGAAGATTAATACTGTCCTGTCACTATTATTGACCGCCTCTGTGGTCTAGTGGTGAGCGTTCCTGGCTACAGGTCCAGAGGTCCAGGTTCGATTCCCAGCGCTACCAGATTTTCTGAGAAGTATTTGATCTGGAACGGGGTCGACTCAGACTCGTGAGGACAATTGGGCTATTTCAAGGAAATATCGGCTCCGGTCTAGAAAACCGAGATTAACGGCCGTGGGGATTCGTTGCGCTGACCACACGACACCCTCTGTCCGCTAAAGTTGGCACTAACTTCGCTGACAAGAGGCGGTCGCTCGGTCGGTATAGTTCGCTCGCGGATAACAGGCCAAGAAAGTTTCTTTGTTTTGTTTTTTTTTAATATTCGAGTTGTGTTGATAGACCCATTTACTTATCACATGCGCAACGGTATGCAAACCATAAAGATTGCAGTGTAGCCTGTCAGAAGTTTATCGACGTTTCGGAGGAACGCACCGTCGCCATGTTCACTGTTGATGAAGTAACCAGAAATTGACAGCGCTCTGCTTGCTGCTTAATTGGTTTGCTTGCGTAGCGTACTGTTCGACCCTGAAGATGGAGGAGGTACGTTCGTCCGGAACGTCGTTCAACGTTCAGCGGAATGCATGACGTTACATCCTAGAAGGTAAAACTCTTCATGGTATCTTCAATGCAAATCACGTATCCGCGTTATCTTGTCGTTGGGCCGTAAATATCTTTCTGACAAGTACTTCACAACAACCTATGCAGATAGTATAGTTCAGTCGGCATAGCTGCTAGACTATGGGCTGGACGACCAAGGAATCTGTGTTCTAGTCTCTTCTGCACCTCGTCCAGACCGCTTCTCACCGAAATGAATCGGCTGGAGCTATCTCCGTACATCATAATTGTGTGGTGCGTAATTAGGCACAGAGACAAATTGTGTTTGACAGATACTCATTATGATGTATCGGTAAAGTTATCCCTGTGCTTAACTACTTAAACACTATGCCATGAAGACGTATGAGGGAGTGGAAGTATAGACCCACGTTTTCTTGACCTCGCCTTAGTCGGAGTTCAGTGGTCACCTTCACGCCCCGGGGAAAGAGCCCAAGGTACCCATTGGATAGGAGGTTGGGTGGACCCCAGAGCCGGTCTGGACGACATGGAAAAGTGGAAATTCTTGCCCCCACCGGGACTCGAACTCCGACTCCTTGGTCGTCCAGCCCGTTGCCAGTCTTCATACTAACTGCGCTATCCCGACTCACCTTTTGTTTCTTCTGTTAATACTGTTATGCGTTAATTAACATTTTGAAATAGTTTGTTCTAAATAATATACAGTACAGTGTGCAGACGAGCAGCACGCCATGTCCTCACACGAGTTCCAAAGTGCATTGATGTTGACGGTGGAATTTTCGAAAATGTATTACACTAGGTAAACTGTACCAACTTTGTTACTTGAACAATAAATACCGGTATTAGAAACAGTACGTAATCTCTCTTTCTTATCAGCAATTTTGGAACTGAGTGAAAGAGCACTATCTCGGAAACCGTTCGGAATAGAACACATGTACATAAACAGTGTTTTGGCTTAGAGTGACCGATACTATGACCTCCCAGAATACTGACCTTTCCTCCTGGGACACCCTGTATAGGCTGGTCTAAATGTAACGGTCTGGACTTGTGTTCGGATCTTACGGAAGTTCGTCACCTCATATATTATAGTAGATGGAAAACATGTAAAAAATTGTACGAGTTTCGAAATTTTTACACTTATAATTTCAGCCTTTAGGAATAAAATCTCGGAACTACGTTTACGTTCACGACATCGTTCAGAAGAAATTAATAATACTGTATCGCAAATTTCGACTTTTACTCGATTTGCAAGCCATTTACTGTAGAACGGCCGCACCATAGCTCAAGCGGTTAGTCGCTGGCTTCCCACCGCCTGGGATTTGTGGTGGACAAAGTGGCGCTGGGGTAGGTTTTCTCCGAGTACTTCGGTTTCCCCTGCCAATCTTCATTCCACCAATTGCTCCACAATCACCCTCACCTGTCATCTGGTGCTGGTACAATAGGCCAGAGGTGGCCACAGTACAAGGGACTTAGTCCCACCCCATTAACAATAAAAAATATTGTAGAAGCGCGACAACGTTGGAAACAGTTATAAAGTAGCGTAGCAGAACGTATAGCAAGTTTACTGCTGAGCAAGGTTTTTTCCGCATATATATTTCTAGTCACTATCCTTCCTTCGCAGCGATAAGTTGCAATGCGCTAAAGACACTATGTAACACAGAGAAATGTAGCTACGATTAACCTGCAACTGTACAACGCGTCAACTAGAGCTTCAGTTGTGGTGCTGATCCGCTCGTGTTGGTCCAACTGCTAAAGGCAGCCAACTTATGAAAAACTACAGTGTCGTCAAGTGTATTCTTCTGAAAGCGTATTTCATTAATCGAAATGAATAAAATTAAATTCACAGTTTTTATAAATGTAATAAATAACAATCATACTATTTATATTAAAACACGATTTACTACTTTATATAAAAATAATTTAAATTTAAATTTAAAATAATTAAACATTTTTGGTCAGGTTCAGTACAGAGTATTCATTCTCAAATTTTTATTATGAGTGACAAAAATGATAAAGGTAGCCAAAGAAGATGAAATAAAAAAATACGCCTACATTAAAATGTAGGACTCGTATCACTTACGTCGCCTCTGCATTTATTTAAGACATGAAATGTGCACATATTCGTAAAATTTTAATTTAAGCTACTTTTGTCTAAGATTGTATCCTATACATGCTAAACAGTGTCGCGGTCTAACAGGTCCCGCCTTACCCGACATTAATGTTGTTTGTGCGCATTACTGGATGGGAGCACCCATTCTGATGTTTAACTCTGAAGAGGTGTGACATTTGTGGTGTGCTGTTGTGCAGGTGTGTGTGCCGATGCCCGACCCAGATCAGGTGCCCATGTCTGGGCGCCCAGACCCTAACAGTGTGGAAATTCTCCAACACATCAACGCGATGCTCGACAATCCCTTGGACCTCAACGAGGGCCTCCCACGAGGGCCCTCTGGTGACGGTAAGGAAACGATTTCTATGTATTCTTATGGGTGGATACCGACCTTGTCGGAGGAATGTGCTCTTTCCATTTCAGAACTATGCGGCTTCAGTATTGCTCAAGTTCAATATATATTCAGAATTACACTGAAAGAACTGCATAGCATCATTCGGAACAAAAGGCGTGGAATGCTGACATACGGTGTATTGCACGTCCGCATACAGCTGCTCAGACTCGAGCACTGCTGGAACACTTCAAATGGCAGTTATTTTACCACCCCACAACCCGGAACTAGCTCGGAGCGACTGGTTGTGATCACAGCGCTACAACAATAATGAGGAGTTGAAGGAAGGCGTAAAAACGTGGCTGACCTCACAGGCGGCAGACTTCTTTGACACAGGAATCGATTATGGCAAGCAGTGGTGGCAGTGGTTAGGGGTTGGGAGGTGACGCAATGCAACCCAAACGCACCGTAGAATCCTTATCTCAGTTATAGGATTCGACAGCGTCCACTGTGCACTCTATTGAGAAGAACCAAATCTAAATCACTAACAGTAGTTCGTATATTCAGCCAGTAGCTCAGTCGATAATCTAGTTGTGCAGAACAAGGGTGTCACAGTACAAGACCACCACGTGTGAAAATTATTCCCCTATTAGCTATTTCCAGACTGAAAGCCTTAAGCATCAGTTCTAAAGAACGAAACCACTTCAGGCTAATTCACTGGCCTGAAATGTTGACAGTTAATGCTAAGACGGATGGCGGATCACGATAGAATGGGATATACAGTTTTCTGAACCCTGTTTCATCTGTCTTCAATTTAATTTTATTGGGGCACGCTATAGCATCGTTGGTTGAGGAACTACAAGCAAGAAGGTCTCAGTTTCGGTTCCCAATGAGGTTAGTGGATTTAATACTTCATCTAATTCTTCCAGCCGCTGTATATGAGACGAATTCCATCTTAATTTCCCCGAGGAAATTTTAATTTTTAAAAATTTGGAAAAAGAAAAAGAACAGAAAATTTATAGACATTTTAATTTGAGTTGAAGTTTTAAAAAAGTGCCAATTTTAGAAATCAAATTGACGCGTGTAGGTTAACAAAGAATTTATACATACATACAATTGGAAAGACTGGTGATTTTAAATTATAAACTACGGGCAGTGTAGCAGCTACGTAAGAATACACACCTGATGATGGCCATTTAGGGCCGAAACATGTAGTGTAGAGGAAGGGAAGAAGAAAGAACTACAATTAAATTGTTGCACATAAGACGGAATTTGTCTCATATATATTGTGTGAGTGTAACAGGATGCTTAAATATAATATTGTCTTCCAGCCGCACTCTGGAAGTGGGGTCGACTCGGCCTCTGACAGAAATGAGTAGCAGGGATCTTTCTTGGGGGAGGTTAAAGGGCGGCCGGCACGTAAGGCTGACAAAATTGCCGCCATCTGTTAGCCGATTATCTAGAACATTTGGGAATCTCGACGTATCACAATCCCATTAACCTGTTGGGCTTTGTAACGGAGATGTAATGTGCTTCCTGTGAACTACGAGCTCAAGGGAGCGTTTTAGGACCGCTACTATTCCTGGTTTATGTTAACGATATCTGGAGGGACATTGATTCAAATATACGGTTATTCGCAGATGACTGCATAATATACAGGAAAATACTGGATAATAGTGACATTGGAAGGTTGCAGACGGTTCTAAATAAGTTAGGGGAATGGGCGGTAGTAAAAGAAATGAAGATAAATCCAGATAAGAGTAAAGCGGTAAGTCACCAGAACTAGGGTGAAGGCTCGTCTGACGTATTATTTTTGGGATCAATTAATTCCGGAAGTAAATACCTTTAGGTACTAGGAATAATCATACGGAGCGATCCAAGATGGGCAGATCATGTAAACTATGCCCACGAAAAGCAAGGAAGGCTCTTCATTTAATAATGCGTATACTGAAACGGGGCAATAATAACACGAAACGTCAAGCTTATACGTCATTAGTGAGACCGATACTTGAATATGGTTCGGTATGTTGGGACCCATACAGAGAATGGCAGGTTAGCGCTTTAAATGGGTACAACGAAGAGCGGCTAAATTTGCAGATCCTACAGATGAATCTGTCTGGGAAACTCTGACACAGCGTAGACTGATAGCCCGTCTGTGCGCCCTGTACAAGGCCTACACCAGGAGACCGGCTTGGAGAGCGATAGCGGATAGCCTGCTTAAACCATGATACCTGAGTAGGGACGATCATAGTTGAAAAGTTAGGAGCAGGAAACAAAGAACAGATGTTGGCAAATCATCATCATCATCATCATCAGTAATCTGTCAAGACGACAGGTCCACAGTCTCTTTCAAAACAATTCCTCCACTTAATGCGATCTAGAGCTTTCTCC